CATTGTAGCTCCTCATCGAGTTAAACATTACATCCCTCCCCTTCCCCCCCCCCATATTAACAGTTTCCAGAAGATATTTTGGGGCCATTACTCATCTACCTATTGAGAAGTTTTGTTTTGGGTTCTATGGTGTTTTATAAAGGGTGTGTTAAGCTTCACCATTCCTGTTTTACAAATAGGGGAGCTAAAACAGAGAAATTAAGGCCCAAATCCACAAAGGTAATTGGGTGGCTAAACTCAATTGGGGGAAAATCCATATTCATATATTAGCTATCTATATAGGACTTAACATAGATTCATAGAAAATTAGGGTTGGAAGGGATATCAGGAGTTCATCTAGTCCAACCCCCTGCTCAAAGCAGGACCATCCCCAACTAGATCATTCCAGCCAGGCTTTGTTTATCCGGGTCTTAAAAACTTCCAAGGATGGAGATTCCATAACCTCTCTAGTTAACTTATTCCAGTGTTTTACTGACCTCCTAGTGAGAAAGCGTTTCTTAATATCCAACCTAAACCTCCCTTGCTGCAACTTGAGAGCATTGCTCCTTGTTCTGTCATCGCTGACAACATTCCAGCTCCATCCTCTTTGGAATTACCCTTCAGGTAATTAAAGGCTGATATCAAATCCCCCGGAGTCTTCTCTTCTGCAGACTAAATGAGCCCAGTTCCCTCAGCCTCTCCTCAGAAGGCATGTTCCCCATCCCACTAACCATTTGCATTGCCCTCAGCTAAACTGTGTCCAACTTGTCCACATCCTGTCTATATGGGACGAAGGAGGGGGCAAAATTGGATGAAGTACTCCAGATGTGGCCTCACCAGTGCAGAATAGAGAGGAATAATTACTTTCCCTCATCTGCTGGCAACGTTCCTACTAATGCAGCTCAGTATTCTGTTAGCCTTCTTTGCAACAAAGGCACACTGCTTACTCGTATCCAGCTTATTATCCACTGTAACCCCCAGATCATTTTCTGCAGAGCTGATGCTTAGCCAGTTGGTTCCAAGCCTATCCCTTTGCACTTCTCCTGATTGAACCTCATGAGATTTCTTTTGGCCCAATCCTCCAATTTGTTTAGGTCACTCTGCATCCTAACTCTACCCTCCAGCATATCTAATATATCCCCCAGCTTGGTGTCATCTGTGAATTTATTGAGGGTGCATTCCATCCCCTCTCCTAAATTTTTAATGAAGATACTGAACAAAACTGGCCCCAAGGCAACCCATGGGGCACTCCATTTGATACAGGCTGCCAACTAGACCTCAAGCCATTGATTGCTGTCTGTTGAGCTCGACAATCCAGGCAGCTTTATATCCACCAGACAGTCCATTCATCCAACCCATACTTCCTCAGCTAGCTTGCAAGAATGTTTCTGGAGGCCCTTATCAAAAACGTTGCAAAAATCCAGGTATATCATGTCCACTGCTTTTCCCACATCCACAGACCTGGTCATTTTATCGTGGAAATCAATCAGGATGGTCAGGCATGACTTGCCCTTGGTTGATCCATGGTGATTGTTCCTAATCACTTTCTTCTCCTCCAAGTACTTAGAAATGGATTCCTTGAGCATCTGCTCCATGATTTTTCTGGGGACTGAGGTGAAGATGACTGGTCTGTAATTTCCTGGATCCTCTTTCTTCCCTTTCTTAACTATGGGCATTATATTTGCTCATTTTCTATTGTCCAGGACCTCTCCCAATCGCCATGGATATTCAAAGATAATGGCTAATGGCTCTGCAATCACATCAGCCAACTCCCTCAGCACCCTCGGACGCACAGTATTCAGCCCCATGGACTTGTACACATCCAGCTTTTCTAAATAGTTCCATACCTGTTCTTTTGCCATTGTTGGCTGCTCACCTCCTCCCCAAACTGTGCTGCCACGTGCAGTACTCTTGGAGCTAAACTTCCCTGTGAAGACTGAGGTACGAGAAAAGCAAAACATTGAGTACTTCAGCCTCTTCCTCATCATGTGTTACTAGGTTGCCTCCCTCGTTCAGTAATGGACCCCGCTTTCCCTGATCTTACTCTTGTTACTGACATACTTGTAGAAACCCTTCTTGTTACCTTTCACATCCCTCGCTAGCTGCCACTCCAATTTTATGCCAAATTCAGCTGCCTAAATCACACAAAGCAAAACAAAATTAGTTGTGCTATAGTGGCTCAAAAAACTCAGGTGCTCAAATTCATTTGGTGACCATAGTTTGAACTGTAATGAAGTTTTAATGAAAATTAATGAAGGCTTCTGTGCACGCTTGGTACCTGGCTCTTGTCTAAATTCCATGATCCAGGTAGGAGGCAGAATGATGCTTGAACTCTACCTAAATCCCCAGAAGGGTCTGATAAGAAGGAGTGCCCAAACTAACCAGTAGATACTTTCACTCAAACACAGAACAGGAGAAGAAATAGGAGAGGAAGTGGCTGCTGGTAGTATTCTGATAATTAATTTTAGGATGATTTCTCTTTTTATCCAATGACTAAAGTAAAAACATATAAACATCCTAAAGGGTTCCCTTTCCCACCCTCCAGTTGCAAAAACTAAGCATTTGCACACATGCAGTGAGTCTGCTCTGATGCACTGGAAATCCAGTGCATTAGAGTAGACTTGATTAATCGAGTCTGCTGGAGCACATAAATTGACATGCCCAGTGCTACATCAGGTACAGGTGTATAAGCGGTGCAGCATGTGCCAGCGCTGAGAAAATGGTGGGTGGTGCGCTTTGAATTAAAACACATTTGATATTCTTTAGCTCAAAGTGCAGTACTGCCATTTCTCAGTTCTGACATGTGCTGCACCGCTTATATACCTCCACCTGATGCAGGGCCAGGCATTTTTAATTAGTGAGGCTCGCTAATTAAAAGCACCCTGTGCTGTGTTGGGAGCACATGTAAAAATGCCCTGAGTTTCTGTTAAGCTTTCTCTTTGCTTTTGTTCTGGTCCTATGACTCCTAAATTCTTGGCTGCATGCTGGCCAGCTTTAACAGGAGCAGAGGAAAGTAACGGCATTGTGAGTTTAGTACATAGCATAGTATTTAGGACATCTTGGGGGATGTGGCTTTGAATGGCCTCAGAGGGTCCAGAATCCAAGTCTCTGTTTTTCTGGATGAGTGCTTTGAACAGTAGGTAAGCACCATATTTCTTTGCATGCCACACACCCCCAAGTAAGACATGCAACATGTTTCTCGAAGGCAGAATATAGAAAAAAATCTTGTTCCACAGTCATGGCTGACTTTGTGACATAAAGTAAGTCCTCCTTAAAAAAACAGACTGTCCAAGAAGTATGGCATCTCAGGAGACAGTCTGGGTGAGGCAGCAGGAACGCTGTAGTGTACAGGACAGCAAAACAACAACAAAGCTAGATCCTTGCAATGGAGCAAGCTACAGTGCTCAGCCAGTAGCTGGCTAAGTAGCAGCTCTGCTGAAAAGGACCTGAGAGTTACAGTGGGCAATAAGTTGAATGTAAGTCAATAGTGTGCCCTTGTTGTGAAAGCTAACGACATACGTGGCTGCATTAGTAGGAGCATTGCCAGCAGATCAAGGGAAGTGATTTTCCCCCTCTATTTGGCACTGCTGGGGCCACATCTGGAGTACTGTTGCCAGTTTTGGGACCCCTGCTACACAAAGGATGTGGACAAATTGGAGAGAGTCCAGTAGAAGGCAACAAAAATCGTGAGGAGGCTGGAGCACATAACTTCTGAGGAGAGTCTGTGAGAACTAGGCTTATTTAGTCTGCAGAAGAAAGACATGCCCCCCTGAGTAAGGCGGCACCAGTTGCCCATGGCAGACCATGCCATGGGAACAGCAGCGAGGGCCTTTTTAAATCTGTAAATCAGGTAAGAATCTCTCCCTCCCTCCTTCCCCCCACATGCTGGGTGTCCTCTCCCTTCCTCTCTCTGCTCAGCAGCAACTCTTATTCATCCCCTCCCCAGCCCACATATGCTGCTTTCCCTACTGCCTCTGGCTGACCCAGAGGTGAGGGAAGACCCAGAGTCACTCCTGTCCCAGTCAAGTCAGGCTGTGTGGGGACTAGTGCCCAGCTGCAGACAGTGGCAGTGGTGGCAGGAGGTTTTTTCTTCTCCCTGAGTCTGCTTCTGGGTTGGCGAGGAACACTCAGGGGTATCAGGCAGGGAAGGGGAACCCACCTGCCATGGCTAAGCCCAGCTCCTTCCACAGTCTGTCTGGAGCTCTCCCTGCCCCTGGGACAGCTAGACACAGTGGGAACAGCAGTAGTAGTGGGCAGGACACAAAGAGGAATTGGGGGGAGGGAACATGCCACTGAGCATGGGGGAGATGGAAGGGAAGTGTGGTGCTGAGACAGGGCAGGGATTCTTACCTGGTTTGGGGACTTAAAAAAGGCCCTGGCTGCTTCTCTTATGACATGGTCCAGAAGGGGGGTGAGCCTGCAGCACTGCACCCCCTCTAGCTTCACCCCAAAAGCTATATGTCCATTTCAGGAGACCCCAATTGCCCTTTACTAATCCTCAGTTACTCTTACCATTGTGGTAGCTGAGATTCACTGAAGTACTTGAATAACAGTCTCTAAATATAGAAGTATTAGGTAGCTGGAAGCAGGATATTCTAAGTGACTTTTTATTCTGGAATTTAACTTCTGTCTCATTTAGGACAGCCTAGCTGCATCCAGATGAGTGTGGCTGTTTGTTTTGCCAGGGGCAGTAGCAGTGGCACGCTTTGTGCTGCTGCTGCTTGTCCCTGGGGAATGCCCATGCCATGTGCGCTTTGGTGTGCAGCAGGTTACCCTGGGGTGGGGTAGGAGAGGCTGGGGCCAGCAACTGTGCTGACCCCAGCAGCCTTATTTAGAGTTCTGGGGGCCTTGGTGAGCTGTGGCAGCAGCACTCTTGCAGCTGGGAGCCTGGCAGGCAGCTGGAGTGTGGCTCCAGACAGCCAGGCTCTGGATTTGGGCAGTGAATGCTGCTGCCACATATGCCACACCACTTTTTTCTGGCATGAGTTTTGGTGTGGCAAAGTAGCAGTGCAGGGTGCAGTGCTGCAAACAGGTCTGAGGTGCCACATACTACATGTCTGCACTCGTCTGGATGATGTTAATACAGACTCTTTTCTCCATTCATGTTGAGGCAATAATTTTTGAAGTGTGGACCAATTGGAGCAGAATCTTTTGTGCGAGCTCCTGATTCAGTATTTTGTATTTGGCTGGGTACAGACATTTAAAAAGGTGGAGGTGGAACTGATCTAAGTTATGTGGTTTTCTGTGAGTAGCGTAGTTTAGATCATTAGCAAACAGAACACCCATTTGCCCTTTGGTGGGGTGGGGGGGGGCAAAATTGAGATGAGCTTCTGCCATTTTTAAACCAGTCTGTGTGTGCTGCACTTCTGTTCTGTTACAGGTATGGATCTGTTTTGTGTTCTGAACTCCTGTTCTGTTATGGGTATAGACTGGTTTCTGATCACTTATACCGGTAAACAAGTAACATCTATGTTTGGCTTTTGTGCTGTTGGCCACATGCCCTGAATCAGTGCAGGTCACATTTATGAAATAAAATACAATAAAAAGAAATATCTATTTAGGAAATATGTAAAAGATATTTCTCAGAAATTGTGTAAATAAATGTATAAACTGTGAGCTGTCTGCTGTAGTACTGAAGACAAGAAAAACAGACTTTTTCTCTCTGTCATATCTTGAAGTCTGTTCGGAAACGTGCTGTTGCTTCTTGCTGAGCTGAGATTTTTGGCATAGGGCCCATCAAGTGTGTTTGTGTGTGTGTGTGTGTGTGTGTGTGTGTGTGTGTGCGCGCAAGCGAGAGAGATAGAGAATAAAGTCTGTCTGTCAAATGTTCTTTTCAATGCTTGAGAGCTGGATTGGTCTTTTCCTGTGAAATCATATAATTAGTAATCTTGAATCTCAGTCTGTCGGAATATCAGTTAATTTGCAGAATGTCTTCACACTTTATTGTATCATTTGCTTTAAATGTTTGGTAATAACTGTGGAAGCAATTGTCCTTTTACCCCTTGCAGTCTTTATAAACTGCTCTCATTATGGGCTCAGTTGCACATCTTGTGCACAGCCCTGTGTGGTGGGTAGTGTCAAGCTGCACCATCCTCAAGGAAGTACAGATTAGTTAATTTGATTAGATTAGTTACAAGAAGCAAAACATCTTCTCCATGAGGGGAACTATACAAACCATGTTTCACTGCTTTAAGGGATACAGCATTGTATAGTTGGTCACTTCTGCTACTTAACACAGAAGAAAATAACAGGACCCTGGCTACACCTCTTCCCACCCCATTCCACTGTATTTCTCTAGCCTGAACACTTCGAGATACTTTTGAGCAGGTTTGACTTCTTCCAGGTGCATCAGACGTAAATCTGCTGTCTTTAGGGTTTTACAAATGTGAAAAGGCTCCTTCCTCTTTATCCAGTAATGACGTAAATAATCACCCCCACAACCCTTGCCTCTGAGCTGTACATAGGTCATTCTTATATAATAAGCTATGGTGTCAGGCAGTGTTGTCTTCAGACACCCTGTTAACTCCATGCAGGATTCTTCCCATACCAGGTGCAGTATAACTTAGTTGGAATAGCACTTTGTAGACTAGTCTAATACTATGTAGACAGTAGTTTGATGGTCTGGAAAATACACATTTTTTAAACTGCAGATGACTTACAAAGACAACTCTGTATCTCTATTCAAACAGGGAGTCATTGAAAATAACTAAAACTGTCTTGAATGAGAATTTTCTCTACTTGTAGAATTTCTGTCTTTAGTTATAGTTTCGTAGTGGATCCTCATCTGTCATAAAAACAAAGAGAAGATTGTTTGAGTTGGCTTACCAGTGCCAAAGAACTGATTGAATAAAATTAGCCTGAGTAAGGCCCGGAGGATAAAGTCAGATGGCTGAAAACTCCAGGTCCAAGAGTTTCTACATGAAGTGCTCCATCTGTGGTTTTATGTTTTGTAAAGATTGTGTGCCCAGATGGGGCCAAGCCAGTTTGCTGTGATATTCCAACAAGTGTTTTTCTCACTTCACTGTGGTGACTCAATATTGTGGTCCATTTCGGTACATAGATGGTGCTCTGGAAATATGTAAGGCTTGATTTCACTGGGTCATTAGTGAGCTGCTCTCTGGGGACTGTTTACATTATAGTTTTCCTTGATTTTTTTCCAAGGGTTGGGGGGGGAACGTCTTGCCGCACAGATGGCTACAACTGGTGCCTGGCAGACAAACTGACGGATGAGATTCTTCTCTGGCACCAGGCAGCTAAGCCAGCTTGGCAATGTGATTATGTCAGACCATTATTTTGTTCTGTTTTTAAAGGCTACTGGAGAAGTTGTTGGTGCACTGTATCATATGAGCTCTGCTTGCCATCCTTCATCCAAGTGGACTAAGTGGGTTAATTGCATGGTAGAGGCAGCTCTTCAAGCATAGTTGGGCTAACATCTGTAGGATAAACACTTATCAAGAATTACTCTTATGGTTTTTGCACCACTCTCCATGGAAACTGTAAGCTGCCTCCAAGAAGAAAGGTAGTGGTGCCCTGCTAGAGATATGTAGGTTCTACTGTGTATACATTACTTGCCTTTGCTTATGGGTACCAGTTAAAAAGGTATCCAAATAAGCCAAGTATTTTCTCCTTTGTTTTTCTTGAAGATTCACATGAGTACATGTCCCATGAAGCAAGAACATATATCATCTTAAGGGACTGTGAGGAAAAAAAGATGGTGCTGTATATTAAAGTCACTAAAAGTAAGCAACTCATTGTAAATATAAGTAGAGTACTTGAATACTTTACCTGTGATGGACTTCTCTGCTTCATGACAATGATAAGAAACATAGAAACCTAGCACAACTTGCAGATTCATTGCAGGGGCATGATAGTAGTTTTAATATATTTGAAAGGCTGCCATAAAGAAAAGAGAGGACAACTGTTCTCCCTCACTGAAGAGGGAAGGGCATGACGTGATAGTTTAAATCACAGTAAAGATGATACTGCATGAACAACTTGCTTACTCTTAGAACAATAAGGTAGTGGAATAGATTGTCCAAAGAAATTGTGGAATCTCCTTCACTGGAGGTTTTCAAGAGGAGACTGGATAATCATTGAACAGGGATGTTTATGAATAGCATTTTTGCATTTGTACAAGGTCTTAGACCCGATGACTCTTGCAATCCCTTGTGACCCTATGATTTTTATAATCTTTTCAGTTTTCCAGAAGGCCAGTTTTAAAACCTTATGTCTCTAGGAGGAAAGTATGTGTTCTTGGAACATAAGACTGACAGAAACCCTGTGGATCAGTCAGTATCCCCTTGGATCAGTCCCCTTTATTCACATTATCCCAGTTATCCAGTGACTCTTAAATAGTGTCCATTCCAAACCCTCACACAGTTGCAAGGCAAAAAACCAGGAAAACTAGGAGCACACTTTAAGTGAAAGCAGGGAAAACAAGGTCACTCCATCACAGGGTGCTGTGATGTACAGGAACAAGAAAGGATTTTGTACTTGATGGCATTTCTTACATCAAGTATTATGGAGGTTTCCAGCAGTCTCTTTTGTAGCAGTTGGCCTGTCATGCTAGACAATTTTGATTGACCATTTTGATTCAGTGCAGTAATTCTTATGTTCCATTTCTTACAATATTTTTTAATATGTACCACTCTAGGGTTGTTAATCAAACTTTTTAATGTGAGAGGTTACCTTGAGAGTCTGTGTAAATTTCTTAGCTTGCTATTTTTGGTTGCATGATCTTAGAAACAAGGTTTTCTAAGACTTATGTAAATGTTATTTGTTCCTCCCCTTCCTATGTTGTTTTCTTTTCTAAATGCTTGGTAATGCTAATGGATTCAATTTATTAGGTGCACTGGAGTAACACTCTAAACAAATACTGGCACCATGAAGAATCAAGATGATTTTATCCTATCTTTCAACCCTCTTAATTCCCAGTTCTGGGGCTGTTTGAGACCCATTTTAGCCTACTAAAAGCAGTCTAATTTATACCAGCTTGTGATTGCCAGGGATCCTGTTTTCCGTGTTAAAAAAATCCAAAATTCTCTGATTAAAACCCCCCAAATCCCTGTTTTTCCACAATTAAAATAAACGCCACCATATATGTGTGTGTATCAATAGAACACAATGTTTTATTGATATTTTTTACAATTTAAAACACTTTTGAAGCCTACCAGTGCCTCAATCATTATAATAAAATAAATTCTAGATACTTATTTATTTTGGTGTTTGATTTTTTTTTATCATGAAAAATCAGAGCTCCCCCTGCCTCCCTTGCTCACCAGGACACGGGCCCAGTTGCAGCTTCCTGCCGCTGCTTTGTAGTGCTGAGTAGCCAAGGGAACCAATCGGAGTGCGAATAAAGCATTACAGACAGAAAGACTAAGGCTTTTATAATATTATATTGTGTGTGTGTGTATGTTTGTGTATTAATAATATGTATGACTGAAGCAGCTGTTTTATTATATATGGGAAACATACAGAACATCTATGGGGAAAGTACCTGAATACTGTATATATTTACATATGGCATGCACCTTTCCCCCCAAAAATCAGTTGAGGAAATTGCAGTACGTGTTTTAAATGAAGTAATGTGGAAAGCAGAGAATATAATTCTGTGGGAGCCAAACAGTCCAACTCTGCTTCTTGAATTGGATGGGCACCACATCCTGCAGCTAGTGGGTTAACAGAACAGCCACAGGTCTTGCTCTTCTCCCCTCCTCCTACAATACAATACTTTTTCCAACATAGTATGGAATGGTGCACAGGGCAACACACAGTTAATTTATTTTTCTTACAGTTTCCATAGTGTTTCTATTTGTGTTATTTGGAAAATGATGCAGTTTGAGTGCTGTAACTATTTTGCTTCAAAAGATATTTCACTACCATGATATGCCTTATTGACACCATTGAGGACATGGAATTACAGTTTTGTGTAGAACTGATTTTTTTTCTCCCCATTTTATTGAAAAATCAGGAAAAGTAGTTTGTGTTGACTAAAATATTTTGTTCAATGCAAAATGGAACATGCACTTTTACATTTAGGCTTATGAACCATTTTTAAAACCTTTTAAAAATAGAGTCTTCAAATATAAAAATATTGGTCTGCAAAAAAAATGGGAAAAGTTTTTTGTTTTAAAAATGTTGAAACAAAATGTTTCTGTCTTCTGGGGTTTTTTTCCTTTTTTTCTTTTTTTTTTTGCTACTAAAGGTTGGCTGAATTTGACTTCAGTTTGCTAATATAACTAAACTTGCATAATATCCCTAATTTTTATACCACACACAGTAATGCAGAAAAACTCAAAACCCATTAGTTGTCACTCCAGATATTGTCACAAGCCACTTAAAGTCAACAACCTAAGCAATCTCTGCTGAATAAATATACCACTTGGTGTCACAATTATTGAATGATGTTCCAAGATTGTGTCAGTGAGCAGACAATCATTTGCAAAGTAATTTGGCTTGTTGGAGAAATATGTAAAGATATACAACAGCAAAAAATTATATGTTTTTTATAATTGTCAGATATGCTTGTCAGAGCCTTATTCAGCCCCTGAGATTTTAAGGTACTGCCAGATCCTGAATGTAGCTTGCCTAGGACTGTGCATCTTGTGATTGTGAAACATATTAAAAAGACACAAAAATTACTAAAAGGATCAAAGTGCTGAAGCTCATGTGTGATTCCATGGAAAGTGGGAGGAATGGGAGTTTCAGGTCCTTAAGCCCTCCCAGCTCTTTTGTGCCCCTTCTGTCTTCAATTCATTAGCATATATTTTTTAACATGGCATAACTTTTGTGGGCTTTACTTCATTTTTTATGTTAGACATTAAATAAATGTCACAATTGGACTTAATGTAACCTCAAAAAGAGAGTAAGGAACAAACAGCAGTCTCTTCAAATTTAGAACATGGCACTGCTATTTGTGAAATGACTGAAATGCAAGAAAACATCTTGGGGAAACGCAGGACAAAAATCAAATTCAGAATGAAAATAGTCTTTTATTGCTTAATGTCACCTTATGAACCACTTAATCAACATGTACCACTTCCTGGTGTACAGTGTTTGTTGTTGTCCAGGCCACTTAGTATCACAGGACTTTGTCAGTACTCGTGCAGTTGACCTGACCAGGGCTTGACTGCAAAGTCATTGCCCCAAAACTGAATTTTTCAAGAAATAAATGATTCATTGTAAAAATATGTAGCTCAAATGTGAAGTCCAAAGTTGCCTTATTCATAGATGTAGTGTCATAACTCTGGAGCAAATATTGCACCAATCTTTTCAGTCAACCTTCATAGAAACTGGGCTATCGTTATGTCCAAGGCTTATGCGGCTATTAGGGTGAACAGTCCAGTCGTAATCAGTGTTCTACATCTTTTCTTGTCAATGGAAAATTCAGATTGTGTCAGTAGCAGACTTTTCATTGATTGTAGTGAACTTCAGATCAGGCAATGAATGGGTATCTTCAGTAAAGTTGACTTCAGTATGAATGAATTGGTGTGTTTCCATAGCTTTGATTAATTCAAATACAATTTTCTCCTTTGCCACTTCCCTTGGGTGAGCATAACACAAAGAAGTTGAAATTAAGCATAGGAAAGAATTGTTGAGTACTTTTCTTTTTGCAAATCTTTATTTGTCTCTTAACAGAGGCGGTCTGGTTGGAAACCTTGGCTCAGCCACAGATTTGTGTTTTATTTTACATTGTGGCATAGCAGCTACTAGATTTTTTTTTATTAAATTGTCTATAAACCTATGAAACCAGAGGGGTTTATTTTGTAATTTTGCAGGGCTATTCATATCCTTCCTATCTAGAATGACACACTGAGACTGACGTGACATATTGAAATTGCTGAAATGTAGAGGAAAGATAACCTACATTTGTTTTCTCTGTCAATCAGTATGAACAAAGAAAACATTCTAGGTATGAAAAAAACCCCATTGCTTTCTCTGGTCACTTAATAATAACATGTCGATTTAGGGCCTGAGCTGGCAGACATTATAGTGAAAGTACTATTTTTGTTTATTTTCCTCCTATCAATAAAGAGTCAGACTTCTTTAGTCATTATGGGTGAAGAGTATTGAATAATCACTCAGTGAAAACTGAGCAAGAATGTGGCAGATTGGTAATTTGCTGAATATGGCATGGAAACCTCATTTCTCACACAAATAACTGCATTATAGTCCTTAGCATAACTATAATACCAACAGTTTGAAATAAATAGGAACTACTTATATGAGCAAAGGTTTGAAGTACAAGATCACCACAATAAGTCAAATAGGATGTTTTGCCCATTAGGAGTCAGGGAAGCCTGACTTCATTTTAGATACTGGAATGAAATTCCACAGAAAAAATGAAGTTTCTACTTCCCCCCACCTGCCCCCCAGTTTTGTTCATGTCACTTGCTGTTGCCTCTTATTTTAGCTAAGCTCTGATTCTATAATGAGCCTGCAAAATTTGTATACAAGCTGAGATTCATACACTGTGATCATTTTGCATTAAGCTGACGTACACTTCTAGGCAAGATTATATGGTCTCGAAGATAGGGATTGTCTTCTAGTCTGTGTCTAGACAGCAGGCATGTCTACACAAGATGTTTACTGTGCAGTTGACTAATTAATTGTG